TTAAGTTGTACACGAAATTTTTCTGCATGTGGTGTTGATGATGTTGGTTGAGTACCGTGATGATGATGATGATGATGATGACGTGGTAAACGTGAAGGTTCATTAATCCATCGAAAAGCATTTGGTCGAATAGAAAGAGCTGTTGGAAATGTTTCAAAATCACGCCATGGATCAAAGAAATCCAGTTGATCACCAAAGTAACGATCAAATGGATCATCGAAATCACGAAAACGATAAATTGGAAAAAATGACATTATTATATTGAAGTAATAATTGTAATAGTAGTAATGTTAAGAGAGTTATTTAGTCGCAATTGAATATTCAAGTGTATGCTGTAGACACAGCTCTACTCACATATATATATATGTGAAGAAATGTAGTAATGTAGATAGTTGTAGTATTGTCTCGAACATTCTCGAATACTCTTGTTTGATCGTTGTCATCCTAGGGTATTCTCTTTCTGTCGTTTTTTTTTCTTTTCTGTTCTGTTCTCACTTTCTCGCTCTGAGCACATTTTTTTTCCTTTTGTGTTGACAGATGAAGATCATGTCGAACGTATGCGGGATAAACGGATATGCTCGATAGGTTTTTTCGTTCTTTTTAAAATTTGTTTGTTTTTGTGTGAAGTGTAGAATAATTTCATTTGAAATTATTGTCAATGATTAGAAAATAATTCGTTTTATTTGTTGTTATTGTTCTCATGTCTATCATAGCATCGATGAATGGATCAGTTTCATAGTTACATGTTGTATCTTGTGAAAAAACATTTTTGTTATCAATCATAAGCTATCAAACAAGACTTTTTGTAACTCAAGATGTTTTACTTTGTTCAAATCAATTTCATTTATACTAATACGAACGACATAAAGAATGTATTAAACCAAAATTCAATTGAGTTTTATAAGTATTCTGATGATTCTTTACGTAATTTGAAATGTTTAAACTTCGTTCTTCTTCGTTTATGAGAAACGATGTTTTAAAAAAATCGTCACTCCTAATTTATTCCATTAGGTTCTAGTATTTTATATTTATAGTACGTTTCTGATAGCTATTTTGAATGCAATATAATAAACCGTAAGTAAGATGTATCCTATATGAAATTTTCGGTCTATGTTTCTGTAACAACATACATACTTAGCTATCAACCTTCACCTTTTATTTTGTGTAATAATTGCTGATAATATGAATGATTTTAAAAAAAACCATGCCAAAGTGATTGACATGATAATACTTCAATATTATATACATTCCAATAAATATTCTAGTCAGACAATTAAAACGAATAATCATACTGAATATAAAACGTAGTCAAATTTGATGTCTTTCTAACATTATCAATATGCCTACTAGATAATGAAAAATTTTGAAGATATGGAACCACTTGCCAAAAAAATCCTTTGGATAAGTTGTTTTTTGTAGATTTTATGAAGGTGCTCCTCAAAAATTGATCTCAGCCCAGAAACATTCAAATTGCATGAAACTTTCAGGATATGTTGAGGTTGGTGAGTAATGGCTATGGTAAAATTTTCAGCCATATATCATGACGTTTGACAGAGATATTCACCAAACAAGGGTCAAAAATAGCTCTATCGTAGCACCAAGATTTCTCTGTAGACGTTCATTTTATACGTTAAAATTTTTTTGTTTGAAAGCTTGTGTCTAGGGCTAGGCTCTCTTGTGGACCTCTTTTTTTTAAACTCTTACTTTTTAAGCGAAGAAAAGGGATGATAAGTTTAATGACTCAAAAAACTCTAAAAACATGGCGCTGTTTTAATACAGGTGTTTCCTTATATGATAATAAAAAGACTTATTTTATAAAAAGGGTCAGGAAGGAGGAAGGGGGGGGGGAGAGTGACTAGTCCAAGACGTAAGCTTTCAAACAAAAAAAAATATTTGACTTTATCTTTTACTATGATATAGTTCTGGTGGCGCTATGTCGTTGAACCCACATTCTGAGAAAAGCGAAAAATGATATTCGGTTTTTTGTAAAAACGGCTTGTTTTTCGAATAGAGGGTGGCGAAAATTTTCCAAAATTTTAAAAAAAAAAGAAGTGCCGAATAAAAATTTTTGTCGCGTATGAAAGAGCAGATGACGGGCTATTTCGCCATGAATTTATCTCAATTTCGATGATTCTGGCGAAAAGCAACTTTTTGAGGAGGCCTTAATAAAAAAATAATATTAGATTAAGGAAATTTGTTAAACAATTGGTTCAGTTGTTGTAAACAATGAATCGTCTATTTGATTTTTTTACAAAAACTTGCGATCAAAAAACATTTTTCACCAAACTTTTAAAATCTTTGCTCAAAACATACTGATAACATAAAATTACAAATCGTCTCAACATTTTTCACTGAAATTGTCTTTCGTAGAGCCAACTCGTATGGTTCAGTTTTGACTAACGAAAAAAAAAAAATTAACATGCACCTTATTGAAACTTTTTAAATCGAGAACCAGGAGTGTTCATAGAGCAGGATAGGACAAAAGTATTGTTTATCACCCCGCTCTGATCACCATAGCCGAGTGGCTACATTGTTTGACAAATATCCATAAGGTACTGTGCGCAAACCTCAGTTTCAGCAGCCATGCAATGATCTCGGACAAATCACTAACAGTTATTTGTCTTGAATCATCCATCCGATAGTATGCTGACTATGTTGTGACATACACCTGCTCTTGTGACTCGTGTGTGGTTAGTTACTGTGTTTGGGAAGCTCAAGCAATTGAACACAAGAACTCTGCACCAGGCCGGCTTTTTGTATAGAACTACAGCTAGTATTATTTATAGGGAAGATATCGGGCTAATGAATCTGTCGCTAGGCAATTCCCATACCGCAAGATAGCTGAAAGAGAGGGATATGCTTTTTTCTTCCTTCACCCTGTCCTTCTTCAGGATATGGTTGGTCTTTACATCCTACAAATTTGAACATCAACTTTTCATCTTTAACAAGAGAATTTTTTAAGTGTTAAAAATCGAAAATAGACGGCAAAGACTATACTAATTGATATTCAGAGTTTTCATCTATACACGTATATTCAAATGAAAATGATAAAAAAACATAACATGGCCGTTGAAAAATTGTATTTGAACTTTCCTTGTTTTCGTTCTTTTATCAAATTACCGCAAAAGATTAATGTAGGAATTCTACATCATGTGGTTCTGATGATAACAATTACTAACTGTTTGTTGTTGATCTTAATGATGCATATCAAATTTGTCTCCACCTTATCTTGTCGAGGACTCGACTACAGCTTCTTTAACCCATTCGCGGCGACATGAATATTGCTTTTTCATAATTCGTAGAAGGTTTCGTCTCTTTATTTGTGCCAGTTGTAATACTTCAAAACAGTTTTTACCAACGTTTCTCTTATGAATATGAGCTATCAACATTCCTTTATGCGTGGTAAAAGAATCAGCCTCATTGGTCAAAGTGTGACAGAGATATTCAATTTTTTTTCTGCGATAAATGGGTTCTTGGGTGACTCCATAGTGTGACCCACCGGTGGGCCACTTCGCCTCGAATGTGTTAAATTCTTATACTTCTGAACCATTAGAAGAATTCTTATTGGAAAAAAAACCAAAGATTTCATTTTGAAAATAGTGATTTGATAAATTCATCTGCGCCTTGACGTTATTGCTTTTGAACTCAATTGAAAAATACAATCAAAGAAGCATGTCGCTTCTACAGGGTATCTTGCCGTGTTCTATCTGATCCAATGAAGCAAGGTAGACTATGAAAATATCATCCTGTGAATATCTCTGTTTTGAACTATTTTCTTCATTAAATGCGTTAAGCCTTCATCAAAGAATAAACAACACAATGAGGAAAATTTTTCCGAATATATTTTCTTTGTTTTAATCCCTAGCAATCAACCGACAAACTACGTAAAATACTAAATATATAGGATGCGATATTATAAGTGTCTCTTAATGTCAATGTCTATCGACTTTTAATTAATTTTATAGTTTTATTGCGTCAATAAATGGTGCTTCAATTTTTAATTGACCATCATCAGTAAAATAAGATTGAACTTGATCAATTTGTGTTCCAGGTGGTAATGTTGTTGATCTGAATAAGTATGATCGTTCAGAACTATTTTGATCTGTATATCGATGTTCACCTCGAATAATAAGTTCATTATTTTTAACTGATACTTTGATTTCTTGTGGTTGATAATTTTTCATTTCAACAGTCATTTCTAATTGTTTTTGATTATTTCCTTTATCAACAATACGAGATTGAACGCCAGAAGCACCTAAAAATCCAGCATAATCAAAATATGGATCACGATATTGACCAAATTGAGCTAAACTTCGATTATCATTTCTTGCTTGTTCAAGTCGACGTTCAGCTTCAGGATTTTTAATTGGTACTTCAATAACTAACATGTTATTTTGTGTTACATATGAACTCAAATGAGTTGCATCTATCGAAATCAAACGATGAATAAAAATATTTGATGTGAAAATAATTTGTAACTTACCAGCATATTCAGGAAGTTCATATGATTTTCGAAGTTCTTGAATATGATAATCGCTGTTTGATTGTCGATCTTCTTGTTTAGCTTCGACAGTTACTTTTTGACCTTCACCTCTAATTGTAATTCTTTCTGGATTGAATCCAGTAACATTAAGTTGAATAATAAATTTTTCTGATTGAGGAATTCGTGGTGTCTGTTCAAGACTTTTAGCATTATTTGATATTTTGCTGAGGTTATACGTTATTCGTTCCTGTTCTTCAACCCGTCGAAATGGTGGTGTAATGGGACGAAATGATGGAAATATATCAATATCATACCATGGATCAAAGAAATCAAATCGATGAAAAAAGAATGGATCGAATGGATCATCAAAAAAATGATAACGATAAAATGGAAATAATGCCATTCTTTTTTATTATGAATTAGATAATTGCAATTGTATATTGAAATATCTAGTGCAATGAAATCCGCAAACTATATATATATAGACAAAATGTGATCAGACAAAGATGAATTATAATATCAATAGATTTATTCGAGAAACTTCTTATAACCGAACATTTTGTTTTTGTATTGTGTCTTTCATCTCGTGAATTGTTGTTTATCTTCTGTACACAGATCTCAGTTCTAATCAAATGTTACAAACCTGTGAAAATAACAAAACATTTATGAGAAAAAGGTAAAGCACAAGATGCTTAATAGTTAATCTCTTTTTCTTTTTATCCACAAAAACAATCAAGATCAAAAGATCAAAACAAAAACAAAAACAAGAACCAAAAGAAATTGCACTTCATATCATTGATATTATAGTGAATATATTCATAATGGCTACATGAATTATTTTTTGTATTGTGAAATATATGTTTTTTCAAACTTCAATCAACTGCATATTTTTGTACCATTCAGAATAAAAATGCACTTATAAACAATTATTTGAAATATCTAATAAAAAATTAAGGATAAAAATAAAGTTTAATATAATTTTACAAATAGGAATATTCAAGTCTTTTTTTTGTTAGTACGGTCATCATCAATTTCAAAGACATCACTTGTGACCTTAGCTAAACAAAAAAGGTTCAAAATTCTTATTTTGTAAAATTACTCATGTCGATTGATATGCTTATTTGTATTTTCATTGTAACATTGTCGTATATGATCGTATACAGCTCACCACAACATGTAAACTAACCGCATTTTCTAGTAATTCTGCGAACAGTAATACAACATCGTGTATACGATGCCATATTTTCTACCGAGTACGGCTGTATATGAGCCGTGATCTCATTATAATACGACCACATTACTAACCGCAGAATTGTGGCCAGAATACGATCCGTTTACATTTGGTAAACTAACTATAAAAAGTTGTATATGGATCGTATCGTTCAACCTAGGCATATTAGACTCTATTATTATCATTAACTCCTTCAGAATGAGAAGCCTACGTATATATAGGCAACAGTTTTGAATCGGTTCGTAACTGACTTCAGTCTCCTAAGATATTATTATGATCGACATAGTGTACATCATAATCTGTCATATCTGATGTCGTTTAATACTATCATTTGTTTCGCACAGTTATCCATCACTTTTCTTCCTGTAGACATTGAAAAGACCTCCATTGCCTTCATCAGTAACTCTATTCTGAAGAGATTGATTATTTATTACTATATTATTATTATTATTATTATTATTCAAGTCTTTTTTCTTTAAAATATTGAGAATTTTATTCATTTGATACTTAAATTAAAAACAATCTATAAGAAAAGAAAAGGAGTTATTTATGTATTGTAGGTATAATATTGTTTAGAATTGACGTTGAAGTTCAATTGTGCGTGGTGTATTAGGTTCAATAAATGGTGCTTCAATTTCTAATTGTCCATCTGCATTTAAAAATGATCGAAGTTGTTCAATTTGTGTACCTGGTGGTAGTGTAATAGATTTTGTTAAAAATGATCGTTCAGAACGATTACTATCACTATAAATATGTTCAGCTTGTACAATAAGTTCATCATTTTTAACTGAAACTTTAATTTGTTCAGGTCGATAATTTTTAACTGCTAGATTCATTTTTAATTGTTTTTGTCCACTATTATACGTATCAACAATACGTGGATGAAAATCAGATGATGCAACAAAACCATGATAATCAAAAATAGGATCACGAAATTGACCAAATTGAACAAGAGCATTAGCTTCTGATTGTCCTTGTGATAGACGACGTTCAATACGTGGATTATTGACAGGTACTTCAACAACAAGCATATTACTTGGTGTAACATACGAAGCCAAATTGAATGAATCTATATAAAATAAATCATAGAGTATTAAAATTGTATATTGAAAATGATTTCTTACTAACCAGCATATTCAGGAAGATCATATGTTTTACGAATTTCACGAATATTATAATCATTAAAACCAATACGGTCTTCTTGTTTAGCTTCGACAATTACTTTTCGACCTTCAACTCTTGTTCTAATAGTTTCCGGTTTAAATCCAGCAACATCAAGTTGAACACGAAATTTTTCTGAAAGTGCTGGTATTATTGAACTTGTAACAGGAATAAGTGTACTACCAGTATTACTACTGGTAAGTGTACTACCACTATTGGTACTAGTTGATTTTGAATGATATGATGACGATGATGATGATGATGAACGTGTTATATGACGTGGTTCATTGATCCATCGAAATGAACTTGGTGTACTTGATAAAGCCGTTGGAAATGTATCAAAATCACGCCATGGATCCAAAAATTGTACTTGATCATCAAAGCATCGATCAAAAGGCTCATTGAAGATTCGATAACGTGTTATAGGAAAAAATGACATTTTTCACTTGATATGAAGTAAATAAAAGAATTGTATGTTAATATATGTTACCAACGATATGTATATATATATATCTAGGATATGTAGTGGGTGGTAATTGAGTTACGAAGCTTCAGGATTGTTCGAGAAAATATGAATATTTTTGTCGCTTTTCCTTTTTCCATTGCAGTATCTATAATGAGATATTAAGCAACCACTCTATGACCCATTTGTGATGAAAGAACAAGAATAGCTACATGTATATCTCGGTTTGATTTCCAAACATCCCACATAAACTGGTACATGTAGGCGTGATGGATATCAAAGTGACAACTAGAAAAAAAAAACTTGTATACATGTATATTTAACCTTGAAAAATATTATATTGAGATATTATTTATTCAATATTGATAAATATGATTAAGATTTTATAATCATGTATGCAAAATATTTAATAGTAATATTTTTGAAATAAAGTGTAGCTCAATTGAATTTCCCTTCGTCTTTTATTGTTGCTTAAGCATATTGCAGCTTGCTTTGTTTTTCAATAATCAGTATATAGCCGAAAAGTACAAATTTCATTGCACCATATGACATATTAGCCATGAATAATATACAAAATTTAGACAATAATAACTTACATTAGAAAAAAAGATAGAGGCTCGATTTCTTTTATTATTACAATGTATATATGAAGAAAGAATTGTATTTTTGTTTGTCCTTGATATTTGTACTTACAAACACCTATAATTTCAATTATATTCTGAGTATTTAATTAGATACAGAGGTTGATAAAAAGGAACTTTTGAGTACTTCTACAATAATTGATATTATAGACATTCGCATATACAAAAAATAAAGGAAAAACAAAAACAAAAATATATTTTCCGCTTACCTTACATTGTAGTAAAAACAATATTGCTTCTTTTTTTTGTGATGTATCTTTTTATTCTCTGAATTTTATTTGTTATTTATAATCAATGCAGTTAAATGTGTAATTTCTTACTATATACCGATTATCGAAAAAAAGAAAGCAATCTGCCATAGTCTTTCTCAGGAATAATAGACGAAGGAAAATTCAATTTGAATCATACTGTACTTGATATACTTTAAATAAGAAGTTCTATTTTTTTTATTTTTTATTATGCAATAACTGCGATCCTAAGATCCTAAAAGCACCAGATATGAGAAAATAAGAAGTTCTATTCAAATGTAACTATGACAAAAAGTGAAATAGTTCTTCGATTTTCATAAACTAGGAATATTTCCTATTGATAAAATATCAAAAGATTTAGATACATAGAAGATTTTGAAAATGTTCTTTGATGCTTTTAATGAGTTCTTTTTGCCATAATAAAAAAAAAAAAACATTCTTGTCTGTCACTAGTTTTCTATGTTATTGATAAACACTATACTGATATCAAATCTATGATTCTTTGCATGTTGATTTAGTTATTTAAGTCATAATACAGTTTATATTATTATTCATGTTATAAAACAAATGGCTTATTCATTGTGATACTTTGTACTTGTAATGATTGAGTTCATCGTTCAAAAGCAAAAACTTACGAATAAGAAAATATTTAATAAGCTAAAATATATATGATAAAAGTAATTAGATAATTGCATAAATTTATCGATTATGACATTAAAAAAAAACATTTTTTCCAATTAAAATACAATTTATTTTTTTTTAACATAAAAATTTATTCGAAATTAATCATATCGCTTTAATACATATTTATTCTCGATCATTCATTATCAACAAACAATAAAATTAAAATTAAAATCGTTTCTTTTATCAATAAATGTTCTACGAAGGTTTTGTTGTAAATGAAGATTTCTTCTCATTCGACTTTGTAGATATTCCAGATGATACATCGGTACCTGGTTGTCCAACCAGAACTTCTTCATATGGTCGTGCATAATTTACAGTACTTCTTTTTGGTCTAGCTAATGGTTCATGCGATAGAAGAGAATTGCTGACCGCTAAAAGAAACAAAAAAATATAAATAAAAATTATTATACATGAAAAACCAAACTAGATCATACAAGGAGCTGATAATGGGCAGTAATATTGTTTTTGAATCAAATAAGGAGAAGTTTCATTATTTTGTTCTAATTATTATTTAAAAAAAAACATTTCAAGCAAAAGATGAAATAAATTAATGTGTTAGATAAATTTAGCAAAAAATTTGAATCAAATCAACATTAGATACCTATAGGGTGACCTCTGACAATTTTAACACCTGGCTCGTTTATTGTTTCTTCTACATTTGAAGAAGATGTTGACAAATTTTTGTCACTTTCATTAAAAGTTTCTGATAATTGATTTTTATTATTATTATTATCTGATTTTGTTGATGGATTTATTGAAGATGATGCCATATCTAAAATGATTACATATAAACACATCACATATTTATTGCGCATGAACGACATTTTTTTTTTTTCTCATCGAAATGACTTGTTTATATCTGACTCATTTAATTCTATATATGAGCAACCCAGTAAATACCATTCACATAGATTCAGAAATGTCATATAGAAGAATTTTTACATAGAGATCGCTACAATCGAAATAATTAATTTTATATGGAATAATTTTAATTTTTGTATTTATTTTTTTTCTTATATCATTGACTATATATAAAGACAAAAAATACAAAAAAAAATCATTCTCAAAAACTTTTTATAACTAGTTTAATATACAACCAATCTGAAATGATCTATTGATCTATGAGAAATATTTACTTATAATATTCTTCAGCCTGCGTTGCTTATTTTATATTAACACTTATTATTATTATTATTATTTCCATAATGAGTATTTATTTATCGTTATATAAAAACAATGAAGACTTGAATAATAATGAATAATATTAAAATAGGCATAAAAAGTTGTGCAAGTTATGGAAGTTATAAATGATGAGGTTTTAGATGGAAAAATGTCACGATGTAGTTTTCTTGGATGATGAAATTGTTAATATAAACGATCAGATCTTGTTGAATGTATAGAAAATTAATCGATATTGATGGAAAACGTGATAATTTTGAAATTGAACTTATTAAATATGCATTAGAACTTAAATTATTAATATTAAGTATTTGTCAAGGTTAAATTTTATAAAGTTAAAATAAATTTTCGTTTTTATTCAATATTTATCAGTGTAATATATTGATTTATGATAATCATTTAGTTATAAAAATGATTAGTCATCCTAAAGTACAAGATATTCATTTTGTTTGGTATTTTTTTTAATTGGTAATAAAGTTTATAGAAGTATACACGGGATGGAACAGAAAATAAACTTTCCCCCTTATGAGATGTAATTTTGGAATCAATTTCTTTTACAATAGATAGAGCTGAAAAGAAAAACGCTAGTAAATAGAATTGTTTATATTTTGAATACAAATTCTACTATAAATAAAGACAAAGAAGAAATTCATTGAATATCAAAATCTATTCCGGAATGAAATCATATCTACTAGATTTCGATTCTTTGTAAAAATATTCAAAAATATACATGAAAATACTGTTTCATTTCGATGTAATTTTGATTTTGATATGTGCTTCAGATCTGTAGTTCAAGGCATGATTCAGATGATGGTCTTCTCATAACTTCAAAGTTGAACAAATAATTTAAAACGAAACACTGTTATTATGCATTTTTTCAAAAGTATTTTGTGAAGATAAAAGTATATTCAATAGAATAATAGAATAGAAAACAATTGAAACAATCCTATTACGTTTTTCGTTAGAAAACCATATGTAATATTCGAACAATGAATGTGTTTGGAAAACATGTCAGTAGAACTATTGGCAAAATTTATCATCAATTATAGAGAATACTTATAATCATATATTGAGAAATCTTGTCTATTTACGTCTTACTTCTCCTATAGAACATAGAAAAATCAATTTTTCTAATTTTTCTTTTTTAGGAATAGATCAACGTCATGAAATTCCTGTTGGAGTAAGAACATTTTTTAAAAGAAATAATTAGCTGTCTAAAAGATGTTGTTAATTCATCACGTCGTCAATGTAATGAAACATTTAATATTCATTAAATAGTAGCTGCTCTGAGTTGAAGATTGTGTTATTGAAGTTATATAATAGAAAATTTCTCTGATAAATATATATGTATTGTTTTTCTTAACATCAATAACTTTTATTTTCATCATAAATCAATATCAATGATAGAATTAAATTAAATTGAGAATAAACAATCACAAATATGAGAACATATATAAAATCCACAGTGAACAGTTTACATGATTTTTTTTTATGGTGATAAATATAGATTCATTTACGTTATCAGTCGCATTAAACTATTCTTATTTCTGTTAGTATTATATTCTTATTTTCGGTTAGTAATTAACTAGTGCTATCTTTTATATTTTCTCGACATTGATATATAGTAATGTCTGTTATACTTTTTTTTTCTATAATACCTTTCCGATTTGTACAGATGCGCTATTAATCATCGTATGTTAACCAATAATCAGATTTCTATTAATAGAAATCCAGTTCATTGTAGTTGGATTTTGTATGTCTAATATTTATTTTGATAGATAGAGTTAATTGCACATCTTATTTACTTTGGTCTCTGTGTTCATAGTGTGTATTCAATGCTATTGAAACTTTAGCTTTTTCTTAGCGAAACAAAAACTTTCGTATATGCTTATGATAATATATAATTGTAATTTACAGATATTTATAATAAATAAATAAACAGTATTGAAAGTAAAAAAAAAAGGAAATTTTATTTATTGATATGTCAAAAGAAAAACTATAATGAATAGATTTGTTTTTTTAGTTATTACATGAAGGAATTCAAAATATCGCGTACGGATAACAGATAACGGAAATTTTTATTTATTTATTTATTTTTAAGTGATGATAACAAAAATTAAAGTTGACGACAAAAGTTTCGGACCACTTTTTAGTTTTAGATCAAGTATTAAAACTACACAACATTTATTTTATTTAATTATATGGCTGTATAGCACAGATCGAGCACTATATATATAGCTGTTTAACATAAGAAACTCGTGAATCTAAAATACAACCAAAAAAAAAATATAAACTTTAGTATTAACAAAAAACAAATGACATGAAAAAAATACAGCATGATATTTTACTGGTATAAGTTCATGAAGAATGCAGGTGACTTGATGGAAATGGACAATCTTTATATAGAGTGTAGATGTGCTTATGGATGAAGAAGAGACAGATCCACATCCATTTATATTGATTTTTATTTCATAGTATTGTGATTATTTCTTGATTAATTTGATATTTACGTTTTATATTGTTTTTCTTTTCTAACAACATTTTTATGGTTATGTCAAGTTGTATTAATATAAAAGAAAAAGAAGATTTTATATAATGCTATATTTTATTATATATCAAGCGATGCTTAGAAAAATTCTTGAAGGTTATGAAGCACGTTATTATGAATAGTACTACTAAGTTTATTATTCAAAAGATTAATCTTCATGTATTCATCTTTCCCTTTAGTCTAGTATCTACTTCATTGTTTTATAGCTCGTTAAATATAAATAGTTCGATTATACAATGAATGCAATGAAATTTCTCTTTATTTTATGTCATGAAAGATCATCTTACGCATATGAATTATATATATATATATATATAATATTTCAAGTAATGTATTTCATAGAGTTCTTGAACTTAAACTAAGACGTTCAGAACATGTATATGGTAATCGTTGACAAATGGTATTATTGTTTAATTACTGTCATTAAATTAAACTTGAAAAAAAGGAAACTATGGAATGATTCAATTATTTTTCAGTTATGATATCATTACGAGAATCACTTTCACCATGATCATGATCTCCTTCACTGAAAATTAATTAAAAATTCTTCATTATTCGTTGTGAATAGTTCATTATTTATAAAGATATCTTTTATTTTTCTTTCTATTTTTGATAATAAAATGACATTTTTTAAAAATATATAAACGTCTGTAAAAAAGAGTACACAACATTTTTTTTTCTTACAATTTTGCTATAATTATAATTAGATAGGATCTGTCAATACAATTATTAGAGAAAGAATTATGATGACTGATAAAAAAAAAGGAAAATATATAAATATATACAGTAGACAAAAGCAATAATGAGGAGATAATATAATTTATTCTATGAATTTCCCTCGACACAATTTACTAATGTAAAGATTTTAAAGCTATATACTGAATTATAAATCTTGACTAAGAGGAAAAAAAATTACATACACATGAATAAAAAGAAAGAAGAAAAAATGTTTCTTAAAATAAATGCTTATTTGTATACATCAGTGAATAGAAAAAAACCTATTTTATTTAGTATCACAAAAAATTTTCTGAAGTCTTGAAATAGTAAAATCATTTGTATATCATAAGTCGAAAGCCAACTAATCATTTTTTCAATTTAATGATATATATACAGTTCGCGCCGATTGAAAGTATACCCTTCGAATATTTTGTTTTTTATTAATATATGTTTTTTATCTATCAACCTACTATATATAGGAAGAAAGCCCGAAATGCGCTGCATCTTTTGATATATTTACATTGACCATCAAATACAGTTTAAAGTATGCAAGGTGTATTAGAAGAAAAAGTCACTTTTCTTTTTTGCCAGTGTTCATAATGTTGTAACATGTTTTATTTCGCATATATCTCGACTTAGGTAAATGATAAAACATTGAATTTTTTTCCAAAAGATGCGCCGTGAAAAGCTCTACAAAAGCTGCATAATCGAATTCTTTTTTTTACCTGTTCTAGTGATTTTTCCGATACTCTAAATGAACAAATTACATGCCAGTGTCACCTCCCATCATACTGGAACTGTTGGAAGACTTTTTTGATCGCCATATATCTCGACTTGAGAAAATGACGAAATATAGAATTTTTTTTCAAAAAGGTATGCCGTCGAAAGCTCTACAAAACTTGTATAGACCAAGTCCTACAGTGAATCAGAGAAGTCCTCGAAACGTTTTCTACATGATGGGAAGTGATACTGTTATGTAAGTTGTTTCATTGTGAGTATCAGAAAAACCACTAGAGTACATAAAAAAGAATTCGATCATGTAGCTTTTGTAGAGCTTTTCACGGCGCATCTTTTGGAAAACAATTCAACATTTTATCATTTATCTAAGTCAAGATATATGCGAAATAAAAAATATTACACCAGTACGAAGACCCAAAATTTGGTTAAAGAAAAAATGTCACTTTTTTTCTGATACACTTTTTATACCTCGAACTGCATTTGATGGTCAATGTAAATATACCAAATGATGTAGCGCATTCCGAACTTTCTTCCTATATATAGTAGGTTAATACATAAAAAACGTATATTAATAAAAAACAAAAAACT